CTGAAAAAGTCTGAACAGAAGCATCTGGGCCAGCACAGCAGAGTTAAAAACAAGCCCATCGAAAATGGATAAACAATTAAAAATGTATTGAAAGAAAAAAGAAAAAGAGAAATCATTCCTAATTAATTCTAGTGCCCTGTACAACCCCAGACTATTTGTAATCCTACAGGGAACATCTTTATTGATCTGGGGGACGCTGCAGCAGACTTCTGATGCTTATCTCAGCATAAAAATAGGCTCTTGTGATGAGCAGTGATTTAATTACATGACAATCACTGCTAACAATGCATGGCGAATACCAAAAATATGCAGAGCAAGAGTGGCAGTGATAAATGCAAGGGAATGGCATTGACTTTCAGTAAAGTCATCTATTGCCAGGGCTGGAGGGAGACTTCACCCCCCTCCCAGCCCTTCTTCTCAGGTTGTAGCTGCTGTGTGGTTTCAGATACTCACTCTGGAACAAACCGACCATGGGCAGACAGAAGATGGAGGGAGAAAGCAGACAGCCATGATCAAAGCAAAATTTAGCACACAAGTCACTGAATCTAACAGGCTTTTTTTGTCTATAGGAACATATGCTCTTTCCACTGTGCATCTCCTCTTGAAAATGAGGATGAGAGATATTCTTTACTTTGGGAGGTGGCAGTACTGAGCAAGTGAAAAATATGTGGTTTAGCTGTGTACAGATACAGGCCCAAAAAATCAATTGCCTTATCCCTGTATATGAAAACCCACATCTTACTATCCCCTTATATGAAACCCAGACCCACACACCAAAGCAGGATAAAATTTTAAAAAAGAAAAATAATAGAAAGCTAAAACCCAAGGTATCATGATAGTGAGAGACCAAAGACCAGTCAAATCCCATATTCCACATACAGCAGCTAGGATAGAAGTAGCAGCGTTTGCTCAAGAAATAGAAATAATTTGGTTGGTTTCTTTTCATGTGATCTCATTGAAAAAAAATACCCAGGATAGAAATAAAGAGTAGTGTCACTAAGACACTCCCCTTTATATTCACTTACCAGTACTGAGTGTGAAATTGAAGCATTCACCAGCATCTGAAGGCATTACTGTAACATTACTGGTGAGCAGACTTTGCACTGTCTGAAGGCATTTGGATCCTTTGGGACTGAAGGGGAATTGAGGCTGATCGTGCATTTGAAGTGGCAGGCCCAAGTCCTTAGGGTTTTATCACCTTCAGTTTGTAGATGACAGCTCAACATTTAATGTTTTATCCCACCGTAAGAGCAACTTACCAAAATGCAGAGATCGACAGCAAAAAAATTCATTCTTTCATCTGCTGAAAGTCTGATCACAAGAAATCCAGCATGGAGGAGAGATCCCCAGCTCAGCAGTCCCTAGGTTCCCTGGGGAAGCATTCCCTAGCACAGCCTCCCTACCCAAACCCATCCATCTATGCCCCAAACCACTGAGGGCCAGGGCCTTCTGCTTCCTTCTCGGGCTGAAAGCCACTCTTTAAATGTGCTGGCTGAGCCATCCTAGCAGACAATGCTTAAGAGTGAGAGGCAAGATCTGTTGACCATCTAAACCTGACCCTGTAAGACCCAGAATCACATGTATGTGCCCAGTCCATGAGACTGCCCCACCTTCCTTCTGCAAGAAGTCCTCAAGAGCTTAGATGGCTGGTTGCTCTAGGACATCAGCACAAATTTTACACCAGCAAGTCTTCCAGCTCTCACTCTCTTCCCCTGCAAGAGCCACACCATCATGCTCAGCCAAGAGGGAATTTGCAGGTGTTCAATCCAAGACACAGGAACCGACTGGCAACGTTCGTTCACATAAAATTTAACAAGAATCTCCAGCCCTCAGGTTAAAGCCACGCTGAGAATTTGAACTCGTGCCTGCCCAGGTGCTGGTGCTGTTGCAAACACTGAGACCTGGATGCCATCTCCTGCTTCCCCGTGCTCAGTTTCATGATTTATGTCAGATGAGCACGTCTTTCATGCAAAACAAAATGACCCTCTAAATTCTCTTGAAATACTGTGTTGTTCTCAGTCAAAGCATCACAGAGAAAAGTAGATTGAAAATGTTATAATGTCAAGAGACTTTTTTTGTTTTCACTCCAACAGTATTTCTAAATGCTAGTGAATATTTACATTAATCATAAATATATCCTTTGCTCACATTTACCTTGAATTACTCAGTTACTGCTGAGGGTCTTCCCCTCTGATAAACTCTCAGGCAGATACTTTGTCCCAAAATCATATTTCACCTGGCTTAATTTACCCAAATTCGAGAATGATTAAAACACTCTATCTGCAACAAACCAACAATAATTTGGAGTATCTCAGCTTCCTTCTGAGCTGGTAACTCTTAGGATGCAGAGGAGCAGGTATTCTTATCAAGCCTCTGTGAGATTTACAGGGATAGATGCACCAGGGCCCTGACACATGGAGCGTTACAGATAAAACAACACACAATATTAAAATCAGAACAGCATTCACTACTAACACATGCCATAGTCTCCAAACCAAAGATACCATTTCCAAAACATTCTATCAGCTTACTTAAAGGATGGAAAATCTAAAGGTTAAGGTTTGGTTAGAATGTATTTTGTCAATTTTTCAGTTAGGGTATTGGAGGAACCAAATTCCTTCCTGGTGTGCACTACTGGTCTGATGGGAAAATGAGGCTTTACCTCATTTCCTGCTGCAGCAGGAGATGCACTTACACTCCTTACTCCAAGCAAACTCCAGTGTCAATGGTTACACTGCACTGCCAAGGGATATCCTTGCTTACCTAGTCAGATACTAAATATTATAGCACAGCATTTTGCAAAGAATGTGAAACATATCTCCTAATCCAGACAAATTAAAAGCATCAGCTTAACCTCAAATGTTTATTGCATTTCAAACAGCATTTATCAAAACAAAGAGCTCATCACAACATATATAGGTACTGGACCATCCAAATCCCTTCATTTGGTATGTCTCCAGCAAAACAATTAACACAAATTATTCTGAAACCCAACATATCTACACAAAAAAAAAAAAAAGAAAAAGATATCACCCTGTCTCCTGAACAGAAATCAGTTCCACGTGGAAAAACCTACAGAAAAACCCTCTAAAGTATTAAAGTATCAATCTGAATTTCTGAATAAATAAACAGTTTTCCCTGCAGTTGAATGTTTTCACTCAAATCAGCGATCAGATCCCACACGCCTGCTTAAATATGCCTGACTTTGGTCCTTACAAAATGACAAGATTACAGTATGATAAACCAGATGATAGTTTGAAGCGAGACAATGAGGCATTGTTTACAGAGAAGATTGAGAAACTGCTTTAACAAAAGGGTTCCGTGGACATCTATTGTATGTACAAGAAGGAGATTTACTGGAGATTTTGTAATTTCTACAAGGCTCTTTCCAACCAGCTTCATTAAGTTGAAGTAAATCAAATCATGCAGAGATCTGGCTCAGCCAGAGAGACATGCCGGGAAAGATACAAAATGAAGAAGAACAGACGCGAGATGATAAGCTTTAGAATCTTTGGCATTTTTCATAAACATTTTCAAGGTTTTTAAATCTGTATATTCACCCATTTTCCCCCACACACTCGCCTACAAATACATTATACATGTACTCTTTATACACAACTCTCTATATGCATGGGTACACAAGCACACGTGCAAACAAAGAGGCATTTTTGTGGCTTTTTAAACCAGGATAATCTTTCCTCAATCCTTCCATTTGCAGCTACACACAGCTTTGCATAAGCAAAATACATTCTTTAGCCAATCAAGTATATGAAAATGTGCCTGTCCTTATTCAAAGGCACAGTGGGACTTCGAAAAATAAACTTATGAAAAACTACTGAATCTTCCTAATAACCCAGTGGAAGATAGTCTGCTGTTAGTTTTCCTCCTCCTTCAGATTCCTGGAACAAGCCCACAAGGATTGTGCTATGGAGCCACACACAACTCCATCTGGATCACAAATCCATAAGCAAGGTTTTAACTGTTCTACCTTTTATTAGATGACTTTCAAAACCTTTTTTTTTCTTTTTTTTTTCTTTTTTTTTTTTTACAAAAAAGAATCTTATCTCTCAGGTTTCTGCATTTCTTTGTACTGTCAAGTACCTCAGGGAATGCTGGTGGTAATCCCTGCCTGAGAATCATAAGCAACAAATCCAGCTCTCATGCTGCCAATGACTTGTGATGACAAATCACTCCCAAAATGTCCCACAGCACCTAAAGGACCGAGGGCTGCAGTATCAGCAAAATTAAGCAGGTTTTACACATGATTCTCTGTTTTAGTTTCCCCAGTCAAACAACCTGACTAATGCTCATTTTCTGAAATACATTAAGCAAGTGCACAATTGCTAAAAGATTGGTAAGCAAGCCAAAAATCACATTCTCCACAGAACACAAAATGGGGTCCTTTCTTCTGTCTTTCCATTGCTGTTTCCACTTGACTTCACTTTTGGGTCCTCTCCTTGTGAACCACCAGGAAAGACTGCAAGAAGACACCAGTGGTGGACCAAAGCCTGCACCCTATTGCACAACCACTTCTTTGGGCACGTGCTCTCTTTCTGCACAAGCACTTGTTTCTTTAAGGTTGTAAAGTGTTGGTTTTTCTTTTCCTCTTGGATCTGTAGTGTTGACCCCTCTGGATTTAGACAGGAAAACAACAGCTATGCTGAAAATATCTGATGAGATGGAATTATAAAAGGCAAGCCAACAGAGTCTTTTCAGGTCACTGAGTTAGCCTTTTCTCTTAATCCTTTCATGGCATAAGGTTTTCATGCATCCATTGCCAGCAATGGATCTCCGATGATTCCAGTATATAAAGAGTTAACCACAGGCTGGGCTTAAAAAAAAAAAAAAAAAAAAAAGAATAAAAAAAAAAGGAAAAAGGAAAACCCACAAGTGCAGGATGAAATATTGAGATACTATTGGAGCTCCTAGCTCTTTCTGCTAATTATGATAAAAAACTTTTTAAAATGTACACTGCTTGAACAGAAGATGGGTATCAAAGACTCGTTAATTCAGAGCTTAAACCTTTCTAGGCACAGTGATTTAACTCAGAAAAGAATAGCTTTCATATCTTAATGTAAATCTGTTGGATATGTTAAAAACTGGTTCAGAGCATCTCCTCACATCAGCTCAGCTGATCTGCTACACTAAGCAGAATTATCTCTTCCTACATAACACAGGGAGTGCTGCCACATCCAGCCTTGTCTCTACAATCAAAGGGGGGAATAAAAAAAAAGAAAAATAAAAGGTGCAGTTGCACCATCCTCTTCCATTCTCCTCCCCATCCCACAAAATCATTCACATTTCACCTTGCTCTTTTTTGGGATTCCATGCCAAAAAGACAACCCAGAAAAGAAACCCAAGACAAGTGTTTATCAAAAACCACATCTTCCAAGAACGAGAAAGTCCGTGGCAAGTGACTCTAGTGTTGTTCTGAAGCATGAGGAGGGGAGGGGTGCAGTGTGTGCACACGTGTGTGCAGGGAGGGAGGTGCTGCATTCCCAAACCCTGCTGCATCCTAGAGCGTGCTCCGCTTCTTCCTGATGGGGCTGGAGCTGCTGGATGGTTTCAATTCAGCCTGCTGCACCTGTAAAAACAAACAGGCATGACGTTTGCACTTAGGTAACTCTAGCTCACTGCAGCGCGTGTTAATGGCTCCCCCAGGACAAACCCAGGGAAACTAAGGAAGGTTCAAAAGTAATGAATCATTTTCTAAACACAGGAACATGGGGGGATTAATTGCAGGAAGGATTTGAGAAGTCATGCATCATTTCTTGAAACAAAAATATTAAAAGCAGATTTTTCTAATGAGATACATGGGGTTCTACCTGATTTCAGAAATCTTTTTGGGTTTGTTTTGGTTTGGGAGTTGTTTTTCTTATCTTTCTGGCATTAACCTATTAGTTTAATAAACTTCTCTCAGGAGTCTCAGTTCAAGTGGATCCCAATAGACAGTAAGATGACAGTTGTCAAAACCATACACAGACCCTGGGATGCTGAAATACTTAATAATTTCAAAAAAGGAAAGTATTCTCCCAAATAGAACCTGGACAAAGCTACCTCCACCTTTCAAAACAAATTCATATACAATATAATGATTAAAACATGTGTGGTAAGCTGTCAAGGATGGTGTAATCTTCAAATTGTCTGTTGTGTGAGACAAAAGTATTCCCACTGAAATCATGGGGAAAATTTGGCTGAAAATGCCATCTTTTTCACTCCTCCTCTGTCTTCTGTCCAAGACATGTGGTTGTAAAGGGGTACTGTACAGATAGGAGTAATTTCTAACTCACTGCAGCACCCCAGTGAAATGCTGAATGCATTGATAGCACACAGAACAAAGCAGGCAGAAGGGCTTTGGAGCTTCCATGGATGACTTGTCCCTGAAGTGTGTGGCTGTCACTATTTTCAGCACTAGTGGAAAATTCCAAGTTTTGTCCCATCCAAGGAACTTTTATCATTCCTCCCATAGAAAATGGTGATCATTTTCCTTGGAGAGCTCAAAGGATCCCAATATGATAGAAACCACTCAAGGAAATGTTGTAAGTGTAAATGTTAAATAAAGCATAAATAGAAAAGCAGCTTATCTTTAAACATAAACATTTAAAGGGCATATGCAAACCATCACTGCAAATCCAGTGGCCTCTATAAGAGCAATGACAACAAATAAAAATACACTGAAGCTTAATGGCTTTATGATTGCTCCTGCTTAGTGTTTTTTCCTCCCACCATGGTGAGATTTCTTTCCAGTTATTAGTGCTGCCACCAACCAGTCTGGTGGCCTCTTGAGATAAAGAAGCTTTTTCCAACCCTGCTTGGGTTGGAAAACCCAACACTGCACGTGAGCAATTCAGTTTCTGTCTCCAACAGCATCAAGTCACTATGGGTAAGATTGTGATCCCCTTATTCCCAGTGAGCAGCACCTCACAGGGAAATGCCACAGAGAAAGGCACAATGTCAGAGGGATCCTGGGCATCAGGATCAGGGCCTGGGGACACAGATTCCAGACAGTGAAAACAAAAGAAAGAATCCTTTATATTGTGTGGCTTCATTACCCAGCAAGACTATTTTCCCTCCTCCAAGAGAAATAAACAGATCTTGACATTCGAAAGGATTTATTGTTCAAATAATTTCCAGGAAGATAGGCGAGATTGCTGAAGACAATGTTGTTGTTTCAAAGAAATGGGAGAAGAGACAAGACTTGACTGAAACTGAGGGAGGATAGATTCTGGTTAGATTAAAACTTATAATTCCATAATGGTAGAAGATTGATCTGATCAACTGCAGAGTATTTTAAACACATGTCAGGGTTTCCTTTAAAGAAAAAGATGAGCAGGGCATTGTCCAAAGGAGGCCTGGAGCTCAAGCACAATGTCACAGAAATAATTCCCCCCCCATTCCTCCCCCTATCTTGAGAAAGAGGAGAATTCAGCAAATCCTTTTGGATGGTTATCTCTATCAAAGAGACTATTTTTCTCCTCCCTCTGCACAAATACCGGAGCAGAAAGGTGACGAAAACCATAGCTCAGTAACCACGCTGAGTGATTTTCCAGATCATTTTTAAGTAGGTCTTTTCAGGATAATTTTTCCTCAATCATTTTATCCTTCTGACAAAGGATTTGGGCTCCCCTCTCTTCTAACACTCTCTCTCCCCCCCTCCTTTTGTGGATTTTCCCCAGATTCCTTATCTCCCTTATTCAAAAGTCTCTGGTATTGTATTCCCAAAGGGAGCACCCAGCCGCTCTCAGTGTCACTCCTTGCCTCTGTTGGCTGTGGCCATTCATTACTTACCTTTTGAACATCAGATGGTACCCTGGAGAGGAAATCTAGTAGCTCATTATTGTCGATGGCATAGGGATTTCTAAGCTTCTTAGTAAATTTATTTATGCCTAGGATAAAAAAAAAAAAAAAAAAAAAAAATTAAAAAAAAAAATAAAGGCAAACAAAATAATACGAGCCTTTTCTACTCCCTCCTTCTAAATTTGTTCAGGCAAGGTGAGAAAGGGAAAGGGAATTCACAAGTAAAAATTAGTGTGAAAACAGTGCCTCAGACTTAAAGCCACACACATGCTCCCTGTCACGTGGAATCACTCACAAGTGGGTCCTGGAGGAAGTAGAGGACATCACTGATAAAGGTATTTCTCTACTTTGGGGACCATGTGCTGCCAACAACGTGGTGAAAAGTGACTGCAGCAAGAATTCATTCTGGGGGATACTATAGGGAGAATACACACAATGAAAGCCAAGTGTGCTGTTAAATCTGCTATCCTACATGACCAACTGGAAAGCTCTGAAAATAACTGGGAAAAATTTTCCTTCCATCTCTTCAGAAAATGAAAGCTTCCCTTCCCCATCCCTCATGGCTTATCCCCTTTTTGCAGAGCCACATTGACCAAACTGTCCATATTATGATGCTGTGGGACAATGTAAAACCTTATCACAAGGTTTACTTTAATTTGATCTTTGTGTAAATAATTAGGCTTATGAACTGCAGCAATAGCAGTCCATCTCCATGGACTTAGAAAAGCTTCAGTTGGCAGAGGTGGTCCCTAGTCTGGACAGAAGATCCATGGGACTGAAATGTTCATGTTATTGTGAAGTTCATAAGGTCTTCTCTTGCCTCTCTTAAGGTCTTCTAGGTGAAGAAAATCAGCTAACCCATTTTAAAGAATAGCAAAAAAATTCAAATGTTGGTTGCCCCTGAGGATCATAATACAGCATTCAATTCCATCATGCCCCTGTCCAAAACCTCATAGTGGTTTCCCTGAAAGTGATTTCAAATGTGATGGCTGCTCCAGCCTTCTCCTCTCCCTGAAATGTACCTGCTTCACATCTGAGATTCAGCTTTTAAGCCATATACTTGTAGCAAAATGACAACACAATTTTCTGTGTACCTGATTTTTAAAAAACAGAAAATACCATAAGGTCTTTTGAGGCCTTGCCACAGGGTAGTTGTTTAACATGTATCATATCTGAAGGCCCTGTCACTCTGGATGATGTTGAATGGATGTATAGTTTTCATGTACTCACCATGTCTTCCATACAAGAACAACAATATTTCCTTACTGAACTTTTTACTCCCAGCAATTTCTCCCCTTTCTTTTTGCCCTTTCTTTTGTTTGATTTAATCCTTTATTTCTTTGTTGCTGTTGCCCAAGAATGGCTTTTTTTTTTTTTAATGCCACCTTCTCATTCCCTCCCTTTTCTACAGCCAAGACAGCAGCTGATGGCCCAGCCCCAGGGGTGACAGGGGGTCCCTACAACTCAGAGCCACACCAGGGCTGAGCTTCTGCAGCTCAGGGAGGATTTACCTGCACTGTGCTCTCCACACCTCTCTACCTCAAGGCTGAGATAAAAGTTAGCACCCTAAATAAGACAGGAGGTCATTTGGAGACGTAGAAATCCTTCAGCAGCTGGAATCATAGAATGGTTTTGGAGGGAGTCTTAAAAACCATCTTAATCCAGCCCCCTGCTACAGGCAGGACACCTTCCACTAGACCAGGCTGTTCCAAGCCCAGTCCAACCAAGCCTTGGACATTTCCAGGGATGGGGCTGCCACAGCTTCTCTGTGAGCTCACCACCCTCACAAGAAAGAATTTCTTCCTGGTATCTAATCTAAACTTGCCCTCTTGCTGTTTAAAGCCATTCCTCTTAGTCCTGTGCCCTTGAATGCCATCTCCTTCTGTGAAATATGACCTCACATTTCTTCATAATGCCACCAGGAAAGTTTTACTTTTTAAAAGCTCCTCTGTGTGTATCTTCATACAAATACTTTCTGACCCATGACAAAAGGAGATGCTCAGTGTTTCCCACTGGGCACAGCCTGTCCTGACTGCCAGGATACTCAGACCCAAAAGGCTCCCAGGGTCCAAATCTACATGGTCCAGCTCTGCAAACACATCTTGTCCACTTCCTACCATTTCCCAGCTGGAGGGCTCCAGCACCAGGAATCTAATTACTTTCCTGCAGAAGAATAATAACACTGAAAGTAGCTTATCTAGGCTAATGCTCTTCTTGTGGTGCTGTTGGAAACTTATAAAGAACCCTAAGAAAAGCAAATTATCGGATAACCCAGGGGGGAGAAATGGTAATTTTAAGAAGTTCATAACATCTTTATTCACCTCTAAGCAACAGCACTTGTTTTTCTGTGTAACAGGTCGTTTAAAGCTTGTTTGATTTCACTCTGTAGACATATATTGTATTTATCTCATACAAATGAGACCCAGCGGAGTACTTACCCCAGATTAAAACAATGTACCTCAGTGGTATAAAATACAAAATAACTGTTGCTGCTGCCAGGACCAAGCAGGCCAAGACAGAGAGGAAAGGCACCGTCCAGTTGAATGTGCTGTAAGGAAAAAAACACAATCCCTCTCAACATTCCTGTTCTTGGACACTGTCTGTTCTCTGCTTCACAATAATAATTTAATGACCCCTTTGCAGTGCTCAGTGCAGTCAGATATGCTGTAAATTGCAGACACTTTGGAAGGTGGATAAGTAGATTGCTACATCTGGATGCTAGAACAGATTAAGGAAGATACCTGAGAGGCAGCTATCGCAGTAAGGAAAGACAAGAGGAGCCCTGGGGAGCTCAGTGAAGTTGTTAGGCATGTGAGTGACTTGTTTTTGTTTCTTCTTCTATGTGTGGCACTTGTCACACATCTCTGCTGGCCACTCAGCTCTCCATTATTGATGGGCAGATTATCTGATCTGGAAACAGGGGTGAGCCAGCTCCACTGGGTCACAGTGGAGGTGACACAAGGTGTGTGTCCAGTGCACGACCCAGGTGGGGCAGGGAGCCAGAGTCAACCCCAGCAAATAACTTGCATTGGACTGATTAGGATGCCAAACTGTGAAAGAGCAGTTCGAGTAATTTCTCTATGTAACATTAGGGCCATAATATTCTATAAAAATCTCTCTACATATCCATACATTTCGTCCTAGATCTTTACATTTCCAGCAATTCTTTACTACACTGAGTATAGGATGCTGGCTGGGATAAGCTGTAATAAGCCAGCAGCAGCCCAAGCTTCTGCATTCCAACAATCCACATCACATCTTTCCCAAGAGGAGCGCTCTTGAAAGGCTCAGTTACTACAGCATTTCAGACTTTGGCCACATTGCAGTGAAAAACAGGATTTTATTTCACTCAGACCTCTCATCTGCAAGTCGATGATGGACTGAAGGTGAGAAGCCACTGCTAACACATCTTTGGAATTACTTTGTTCCCCCTGTGCCATTGTAAGACATAAACCTATGCCCTGCACCAAATGTTGAGATACCTGGACTACAAGGATGCCTGCTAGTCCACAGGAGGATTTATGGATCTGGGCATCTCTGTTTCACACAATCTGCCTGCTAACTTCATCATATCACAATGATGGGGAGTAGGAAGAAGAGAGAATGAATCTGGACCACTTATCAGGCTATAAAATAAGACAAACTTCCCTTGACAGATAAAATTAATAGGACGCTTCAAGAATTACATTTAAGCTTCAATAGACGTATTAAATATTAAGTAAAAATAGGTGGGAGAGGACCCATCATTATCAATCAATGTAGCTTAAGTTAAAGCAAAAAAAAAAAAAAAATAGCAAAACAGCTCAATTGAGTTAAACTATGAAAACTCCCTATGATTGTGTAACTGGAGTGACAGACGGAAACTGTAGCACAATTCAGTCTGTCACTTACAAAAAAAACTTTGATAGCAATTTTTTAATGGCACATCACTGCCGAGCTACAACAGAATCCTTCTGAAATTACATCGGGCGTCCACATTAATACCCAACGTGTTCTTTAAGGCCATTGTTAGCAAAATGAATACAAGAATTAATGGTGTTTAAGTGCTTGGAGTCTTCCTGCCATGCAGCTGGGCAGAACAGTGCCCTGTTCATAGACTGGAATACATCTCTGGGCCACTTCCACCCCAGCTGGGGTGTCCAGTGTGGCACCACAGCACATGTGGTTGCTGTATTTTTAGCTTGAACCCAGCTCCTCATTAAAGTGAGGCTCGGTCACAAACCATCACTTTGTGTTCAAAACAGACAACAATATGGATCAATTAAGCTCCAATAAAGACTGAGTTATAAAAGGTTTGTGTGTGTTTGTCTGTGGGATTTTTTTTTTTTTTTTTAGGCTCTTCACCTCCCTCCTGACCTGTAAGGTCAGGAATACCCTCTGTGTGTTCCCCCTGCCATGGGACCCTGAAAACCCCCTCTGGGCTTCCTCGTGGCACCAGCAGGAAGCAGACAGCTCAAAATGGCAAAGACAGAAGAAGATCAATGTGTTGGCCAGGGACACAAGTGACTGGTGACCCCAACAGCCAGGTCAGGATGGGGAGGGCGTGGGAAAGGCAACACTGACCATCAGTACCCACTTTCTGTGATGGGACTGAGAAGAAATGCCTGATGCTTCTGTGACCGCATCTTCAAGCATCGTCTGTGGCACCCATGACTCCTCACCCCATCACAAAAAAGCAAAATTCAGGCAAACGTGAAAGCTGCATCAGTAAGGACACTGCTTCTCCTCTTCTCTGTGCTCTGCAAAGGTGTTTTGGAATAAAAGACTGTAAGAGAAGAAGCAGTGGTGGGACTGGCCAGCTTATCCTGCTGCACCTTGCAGCCATTTTTGGAGCAAGACAATTACTCCACCTTGATCCTCCTGGTTCTGATTCATTTCAAATCATGGTCAAGCAAGAAAAGGTCATTACTTACTTTTTAATCCTCTCTCCAAACGATGCTATTTCTTCCAGGATGCTTTGAACAGCTATGATGATCTCTTGGACCATGTGGATTCTCTCAATCAGCCCCTTTTTCTCAGATTCCTAATCAAAAGAAACCAGAAAACCAAAACTTTTAATAATTTGCTAGGGTGTTCACAGACACACGGTGAAAATAAGATTTCCAGCACTGCTGATCCATCCGTGACCTCAAGTATTTCACTGAAGGAAGGACAGAACAAACACCCTGGGTTTATCACACAGAACCAACATTATTTGTATAGATCCCTGTATTTTCTTCCTTTTCCTCAACACATGGGCAGAGGTTTCTTCATCTTCTAACACAACCTGACTGCAGGATCTCAACCAGGATTTCACACAATTGGATGCCAAAGCATAAGAGGTGCTGAGAACCCCTGGTGTGGAGTGCTGGCTGCTCAGTGCTCCACAAAAACAAAAATATTCTTGTGCAGAACTTCTAAATATCACATTTCTGAGCTTTGTAGGCCCCTCGCAGCCATGCTGGTTTGTGTATATAAATTAGCAGCAAGATAGTGAATGCAATATTTTTGAGCATTCTGTATACAAAGACTTATTCTTTTACTGGGGAAAAAAAAGGATGAAAGGAAAAAATGTCATTTTCCCTTTGCAGCGGCCATCTCAACTTCATTTCTTACTGCTTATTTTAGGCAGCAACATTACAGGACATTACTACACATGTGCAGAAATAAAAAGGAAGCACAGAATGAATTAAAAATCAAAATTACTTAAATCAGGCTTGAAAACCAGTATACAATTATCAGCATTCAGCATTTCTTTGCCAGCAATCTAACACACATACAGGCATGCAAATTGGCTTGGTTGCAGATATTCTTGCAAGAAATCAGCAAAACATTCACTTATTACAAAATGCAGAGCCCTGGACACTGATTTTACATCACATTTAGACACTTAAAAATCAGTCCAATTTAGAAATAAAAAAAATTTTAAAAAAACAAAAAACGAACCAACAAAACATTTTAAGCTGTGTTTTAACCAATCTGTTCCCAGAGAAGGGAGATGATGGTAAAGAGCATTTTGTATCCGTGGCCCACACCAGTCAAGGCAGAGGAAAGGGTGGGTGGGAATGAGCAAGGGCCAGAGACTTTTGCATCAACACTGCTGCAATTCTGCCTCTGTGTTGTCATCCACGTCCCTCCTCCATGCAGGACAGGGTCAGAGGCTATTTAAAGGTCACACAGGGCCACAGAGGTGAGGGCTTTTGCTCCAGCATTTTTGGCATTACCAAGCTGGCAGAGGGTCTGTATGGGGCTGAGAGAGGGCACCACTCTGCAGAAGGTGCTGGAATAACCTGTGACCCTTCCCTGGATGCTGACAGGCAGCCATGGGAATGCAGCCCTTATCCCACTTTGAATTACTTACTGCCCATTTCTCTTCCCAGCAATTTTTGAGTTTAAAAAGCCAGCCAAAACCACCACGGAGTTATCAAGCTCCAGACATTTGAATATTTGCCTTTAGGTTGCAAGTCAGTGCACAATGAATAGAAGCAGCATTTTAAATAATCACACATTTGGGTGTGAAAATGAGTATTTTTACATTAATAAAACAACCAACAAAAATGAAACCCTTGGGGTGTGAAATAACCCCAGAACAAAATAAATAAATAAATAGTCAGTTTATGTGAAAATAGCACCAAAAAGTCATTTTCACACAGCTCCAGTTATAATCTCGTTAGGCTCAAATGTAAATGACACATTGAAATTATATTTAACTATTTCCTCACTGGAATGGTACAACAGTGTTTTGGCCATAGCTGGCTTTTTTCCCACCAAACTTGGAAGCAGAAGCTGAGGAGCAGCTCACGGAAAACCAGACAGTGGGAATTTCATTCTGTCCAAATTCAGGCAGAGGGGTAAAGAAACCACTTAAATGAAGTGATATTGCAGGGCAAGCCTACTCTTGCTGCCCAGAGCTGCAAGGCAGATCATCTGCCAGCTCTGCCTGCATCATGCTGACTTCATTTACACATCCCCGATGGAGCTCAGAGATGTGGTGATAACACAGTTTAACCAACACAACACAACACAACTCCTGCTGCAGCCACGAAGCAGAGCATAAAATAAATAAACCAGAAACTGCCAGTCCCTAAGTTATGGCAACTCATGCCCATGCTCACCTGGCTGCATGCTAAAATCACTGATGCAAATATGGCCAACCAATGAAAAGGCAGAGGGAAACTGGGATTAGAAAACCTCGCAAATAAAATTAGTTATTCGAGAGAAAAATAGGCTGCAACTGTGTGTATGCACGATGGGCATAACTGTTTGAAAATCCTGGGAATTTGTAAACGTCATTTCTTTGTTATTGCTGTTTGGTTCTGGAAACCTGCAGTCTAAACACATGGACAGGATTATTAGGTCACTGCTTAAGCAACGTAGAAGCAGACAAATGAAGTACAACAAATGGGATTTTCCAAATTTTTTAGACTTTGGAGTGTTGCTTATGCTATGTGAAGCCAGCGCCTCAGAAAACACTGTCAGAAGCAGTAAGAGTCCATCAGGATGAAAGTCACTGGACCCTATTTATCAGTAAATGGGCACTGTCATAGAGAGAGCTGTATTTGAACACTACCATGTTCATAGAAAATGTAAAGAAAGAATCCAAAATGCATCTTCCACTACACACACTTTCTCATCCGTGCAAGGTCCCACCACCCAGACAATTCTTCTCCATCCTCTCCAGGTGTCATTCCTTTCTGATTTCTCTTGGACTCCATGTATTATACTGCTTGAAAACTGGATTTGGATACCTATAGCTTAAGATCACAGCTCAGAAGCTTTTGCATGAATTGAAAACAAAATATCCTGCCTATTTCTGGCATTATTTCCCTAAAACCAGTCGTGATAACTTCCATTAATTCAAGGCCTTTGTCTCCTTTATTTCTTAGCTGATTACAGCACTGTGGGTGGACCAAAACTGGTCTTCAGCCTCTGGGAAAGAATTAACTCCATCAAAATGAATTTACAGCTGAGAATTAATTATATAATCAGTGTGTTACTTCAACTCTTCCTTGCATATCCTGATTTAAGAATCCTTCATTTCTACATTAATTGCCTGAACAAAACCACAAAAGGGGGTTTACAAAAGATTAAGCATGTCAGGGGAGGGAAAAAAAAACCCAACAACTCCAACCAAGACCCAGCAATTTCAGAAATTAAGTCTTTTGTCTCCAGCTAACATACACCAACTTGAACTCTGAAATGAAGAGACCAAATCTCTGCTGTACAGGAAGATGCTCCTAGATTTTTCTATTTCTCAAATATGTAACAGTTAAACAGGACATACAAACAGACTTTTAGGGTCAGTTGCAAAAGAAACTTTCGCACAACCACAGCATGGAGGGGCTCCCAAGGCTGAAGACTTTAAAAGAGTGGGAATCTGGGGCAGACCAGGACAGGATGTCCCCAGCACTCACACAGCAATTCACAACGGGTGAGCTGCAGCAGTCAGAGCTGGTCTTGCGAGGGAAAATCCTAAGAGTTATGGGGGAAGACACTGAAGGCAAAATTTTTCAATCATCTGCTCTGGAACAAAGGCCAAATGCCACCCATTAGTGCTTCTTCTCTAGCCAAGCATCCATTACTGAATTCAAAGCCTGGATGGTGGAGATCCCCTAACTTCTTTTGATCATTTGTTTCCATGATTAATAGCTTTCATCTTTACAGAAAGCTGTTTCCTATTTTTTAAATCTATCCTTCAAATATTTTTCCTCTGGATACATCCAAACCAGCAAGCAACGCTCCCAAATGCACAGACAAATTTTGCTGTTGTTCTCTAAGTGTATTTCTGATGTATACTGCAAGTATCATCAACAAGGAAAAGTTAGGTTTGAAGCCATGGGTAAGTTCTACATAATTCTTGCTCACTTGGATTTCATAGAAAACACTTGCAGAGAAAAATCTTGCATGCAACTTTCAAACAAGTGGTATTCATCAGCAGATTTCTGGCATGCCAAGGGGAACTCAATATATAAAGCTGAGGAACACTTGGGGGCAAAGATGAGGAAAAGGGGAGGAGAAAACATAAATATGGATTAATGAAAAGGAGGAAGAAAACAGGATACAGGCAGCTCAGTCAGGAATGAAAATCCTGAATCTCTTCAGGGATTGGAAGAATTAGTCTGCCTAGCCCTGGGCTGGCCTAACTTTCAGGATTAGCTTTCTTACAGTAGCTGTCTCATTATGCTACTGCTGCTACAAGCACATTAGGGTGATGTTTTACCAGGATTTATCTAATGTACCAGTTATTAATTCTTCAGTGTATTAGCAACAAACAAGATTGATGGAAAGGGAAAAGAAAGGAAAATAGCTCAGGCATGCATTCCTTTTTGCTCCACTATTATTCTGCTTTAAAAAAAAACCCAACAAAACATGCTGTAGTTATTTAGGGAAAAGCAGAGCTAGGCAAAGTTGGATTTAATTTGCAACTGCTCTCTGCTGGACTACAAAACTCAGACCTTACCGGTGTCCAGCAAAAGCTGTGCCAAAAAACATCTCAGGGCCAAAACACTCGTCCACGAAGAACTTCTGAAACCAAAAGGATTTTATTGGGCATAAACAGCAGACCACTGGCCTCTGTTGCCAGCAGGGAACACTTCACTAACGCTCCAGTCTAGCAGCAGAACGAAGCTCTTGTGGGAGGTGGCAGCCATGGAGTGACAGACAGTCTCTTGGTAGCTAAAATGAATTCCAGGCAGAGCTTTGCAAGCAGTCACCACAGCAACCTTGAACTGGTTCCTGCCTTCCGTGGGAGCCAAGGGCTGCCGAGAGGAGCCCAGCGATGCGCCTTGCTGAGTCACTGCCCTGCCCCGAGCTGCAGAGTCTGCTGCGTGCCGAGGGGAGGACGGGCACGCGGAGGGGACGGCTGCCAAACTCTGAGCAACTGCCTCGTGCAGCCCTGAAACTGTGCATCACAGGATCTTTTTGTTTATTAACACCATGCTGCAAATGTGCCTGCCTGTGGAAATTTAGCGGATCCAAGTGTACTTGAAATAATTACCAAATAGAGGAAATGCAACACATACAGGTCAATTTATGCTCTCAGTTAAAAAGGTGTGAAATCTGGAATAATTCCACCAGAGCCAATAGAATCACTTCAGACTGGTATGAAGGGGAGCAGCATCGGTCTTAAAAGGACACATTTGGGAGGAAATAGCACATCATCCTACAGCTCAGGCTGGGGAACACTCCCTGAAGGGCAGAAGATGACCACTCCATGCCTTGTCCAGCCATGCCTGCACTTTCTCTGCCTGTATTAGATGAATTTCATCCATACACAGGGGACCAGCAAAAGTCTCCTAAGCCAAGCCCAAGAAGAATCTTATGTGAAAAACTCTAGGTCATAATTCAGTTTCTTTCTCTATGCACAGGCATGAAATGCAGGTAGTTTAAGAAGCATTTTCTGTACATGCTCACGTTTTCATAGGCGTGTAAAGCAGCCCAAAGTCCACTGGTATTGCCACAAGTTTTCAAGCAGTATCACCAGTCACAATAGAATAAAACACAATTCAGGTGAGGAACACATGCTTAAGAAGCAAGAATAAATCCTGAATGGAGATAAAAAGTCATCAGTCATCTTTCATTTAAAAACTGGAAAGGGAAAGAAAATAAATTTTGTCAAAATAAGTGCTTTCTCCTGGAAACACATGAGGCTTAAGAACAATCACATGGTTATTAGACTTAAAACTACTGGATCATCATCTATAATCTAGGTAATGACCTTCAGAATTTGGGGTACAGGAGAAAGAGGTATCTATTCATATATCTGACCAATTTAAAAGAAAATTTAACAATATTATAAACAGTTGGAATTTTTAAGAGAGGAGAACTCCCTGAAGCTCATCTGCTGGGTCCAGTGACCTGCCTAGTCACTTAACTACTTAATATTTTTCTAGAGATTTAGAGAAGTTGCAGTGTTGGCTTTTACCTACATCTAGGTAGGTAATTCTCCTTAAGAGGGAGAATACCACCATTCTCTCCACCACCTCTAAACCTATGGATGGGTGGCTCATGGCACTGATGTAAGAACTGTGCCAATTTATGGGATGCCTACAGATAAGACCAGCCTTGGAAAATGCTGCTGTGTAAAAAAGATTTAACAAGAGACCGTTTAACTTCCAGTTTCTTGTACAAAGAAGGCTCCCAGGAAAAGAGCAAAGCAAAACCACAGCAACCCCTGCACTGGGTGTTCTTGCCCATAGTTTTGTGGAGGACATGGATGCTCCTTGTCAGTCTGAACATACCCTGTGTATCACAGGGCATTTTCAAGTCCTTACCATCACTTCTCTTCAGCAATCTTAATGGGGGATGTTGAAATATTATATTGCAATTGTTGTATTGAAGAGAAAAAGAAAAAAAAACTAATGAAATTATTTATACTTCCAGGGAAGAAAACAATGAGATGATATTGTCTTGAATGACCTTTCCTAAGTATGGGGATATAGCATCTTACACAATAGACTCTTGGTTCATGTTTCAATTACTGACCTTTACTGTGGAGAAAATTAATGCAATTTTCATCGTAATCCACCCGTACAAATAAGATCCATACGGAAGGTTTCCACATGCTGAATCTAACTCAAATGGAAAATGTCAGCTCTTTGCTACTGGATGGATTTGACTTTAATTTGTTCGGCTGGAGTCTTTTTGAATTGTGTTCATCAAACTTTGTATATCTTTGGTACCTACTTTTGACAGAGAATTTCCTACATTAAAGGCATTAAGTTTTTATTCTTTGGTGATTTTCTTCCACTTCTGTTTTTTTTCCAATACATGAGACACTAAACATTTCTTGGAAGTTGCCAAATAACTTGGCTTAAAGCCACAGTATCATTTGGTTCTTCCCTGCTACATTGCACTAGCCAAGCAGGACTACACTGCCTCACCACAGGACAAAAACTCTTAAAAAAACCCCCAAAAAATCAACAAAAACCTCACAGAGGAATTGTTGTTGATTTACCTTTGTCTCTGATTTTCTTTTGAATCAGTTACCAGACCTGAAAATAGTAGTAAATTAAGCTTTGTCTGTTATGGAGATGTAAACTATTATTCAGGCAATGGAGAAGACTCCAAGGCTCTTTTCAGCCAGGTGCTATGACACGATCATTCACAGGGTAACTGTCTGCTCTTGAAACTCCACAGTCATTATCAGAAACAGAAAAAAAAATTAAAATAAAATAAATAGAACTGGTCAACAATCAGACAACTTAAACTGAGCTGCATGCAGCTTGTCTATACCTTCTTACTGGCAGACCAAGGATGCTGCAGTGATGCAATTTTAAAACAATCCTTACTCAGGCTGACAGAGCCCAGAGCTGACAGGACACAGCCTGAACTCTGTGTCCAAGATGGCACAAATCCGAGAAGGCATTTATCCAGGGAAGAGCTGGTGCCAAAGGGACAGAGCACTGCTATCTTTTACAGCCCTCCATGCTGGTATGTGGGGAGGGCAGAGGGGGAAAGGACGGGGGAGTCAGCAATTAAGCCCTGTCATTTAAGACAGATAGTCTAGGTGGAGGGAGTTAATCTGCTCTTGGGTTTTTGAACTAAGTGTCTGTGTATTTATAATTTGTAAACAGTTCATCTCTTCGAGGGTGTGTTACAATTCCCAGAAGCACGGTCTGTTATGTCTAACAGGCAGCAGAACCCAGAAGGGCTCTGTGTGCAAGTATTTTGATACAGCAGGATGACAGGAAACAGAAACAGTGACCTCGTACACCACAACCCAACTAGCAGATTTCAACTTTGGGAGCTCTTGTATTAGGGAGGAAAAAAAAATACACAGACTTCTTTTTAAAGTAGGCTTGTCTGTTTAAATGTTGACATTGCCATGAGATAGTGTCATAAAATTACATTTTTCTTACACTCCCCAGAGAGCATTGGCCACCCTCAGACTTGGAAAAGTGTCTTAGAATGTTCTTAATGTAATTAAAGATGTACATAATGTACTTAAAAGATGCAAGTCATGGGAGTGCAAGTGCAGCCCATCACTGCTGCATGGGGGTACACACAAGGCACAGTAAAGACATTAAGGCAATTCTGCACAGCACTGGCCATGGGGTTGCCAGCCCCACAATGTAGGGGCTGGCAACTGTCTCTTCTGGCAACTCTGTGCCAGAATTCCATCCATAACAACTGTAATGTTGGGATGTAAAGTGTTATCTTCGTGAGAAAGCCTGCTGGGGGTATCTGGTGTGAGAGGCTTTAGCCAGTGCTACCAGCCCTCTCTCTCAGAGTCCTAGAGTTTGTGTGGAATGGAGACAGAGGCAGCTCCCACTACAAAATGGCAAGGCCAAACCATCAACAGCTCAACGCTGACTCCCAGGAGTTTTACCAAACCTGCACACTTAGTTAAAATAAACCAAGAAAGTGAATGACAGTGAAACTGTTTTGGGGGAGACAAAAACCCAAAGTCATTAAATCCATATTGAAGTGACCCAGTTGTATTTGCACAGAGAGAACCAAAGCCACTGGAGTTAAATGTGGGGTAAATGTAACCTAGAATATCTTAGCAGCAATGAATCTATTGCACATCACAGGAAACAGAGGATTTGATACCTATTTAATACATTCTTACTTCCCTTTTCCCATCTCAGCACTTGCAAGGGAAAAACAGGAACATTAAAATAGAAGATATAAATGGAATTGTTCCAGTGAATAAGTTACACTTTCAGGCATCACACAAATAATATATACAAGTGTCTAGAACCAGGTACCCACTAAATAGAAATTATTGACTTCTATAGATATACAGTATTCTTTTGAAAAAGATACAACTTTCCTTTAGCAACTTTTGGAGAGTTTCAGATATTGGTCCATTCCCTTGACGAATTTTACAATACAAAGAGTAAATTATAAATGAGAACATTTAAACAACTACTGTGTGTTGCAAGAAACCTGTAATTCAGCTGGATTGCCGAAACTTCACTTTGTAACTTTGATGGATTTCTGGTTGCTCATTAAAATATAAGCACAGCAGAAGAGCAAGTTACATTTAAATAACTACTCCCATCAATTAGTCTGCTGAGCTTCAGTCCTAGAGTCTGTGACTGAGAAGAGTTAAGGTGCACTTGCTAGCTGCATTATTGATTTGCTTCTTAATGATCAACAATTTCACTGTAGCATTTTTAAAACATAGAATATTCAAGAAGAGTCTTATTAACTTAGTATGCAATTTGAAAGTTTCACATCCCCTCATGAACATTTTCTTCCTAACAGCTAATGTTCCTTTGCATGCTGTTGCTCGTTAAATAATTCCTCACCTTTTAGCTTTAAAGTATTTATAGATTATCAGATCCTCCTTCACTTACTTATGTTTTTTCAAGCTGTATACATTAAGTTCTCTTAATCTTTCTTCGTATGTCATGCCCTCTAATCCTTTTATCATTTGTCACTGTGGTTTGATAAACTTGGAAAAAAATCCAATGAATTTTTCACAGTGAGAAGAATGAGTAAGTATGTTCCAATAAAATAAAAAACAGGCCTTGCCAATTCCAATTCTTTCCACATTTCAACTGCTGAACTAAAACTGTTTTTCTTCCCAGGGTCTGAAAGAAATGTTGAGAAAATTCTAACCAGCCCTCCACAAATGACACCAATTCTGGCCTACTGAAGTGGAAATGCCAAATCGTTTGGGGAAAGCCATTAGTAGGGAACGTCTACCAGCAGCGAGGGGGGATTGCACATTCTTGTGTACATCCCTGCACCTCCTCCACCACGCACACCCCTGCTGCAGGAGCACATTCATGAGCATCTGCCCACTGCAAGGCCAGGCACAGCCTGGCACTGCTCAGAGTCAGCTCTTGTTCAGCTCTTGCACAGGTACCGCCACTCTGGGGTGTTACACAAACCAACCCCTTCCTACTTTCAAACCTGCCAAGCAGCAAACTGCTGACAACTGTCTTCCCAGTTAATACAGAGAAGAACTGAAGATTTATGGAGAGATTATTTGTTTGTGTTCTCCCACCTGCCCTCTGATTCTAGCCAACACAGCTGTGAGATATGCTTACCTTATCATCTTCATCCTCGTCTTCATCCAAGCCCATAAGCTCCTGCAGAAGCAGATGTCCATATTATAAAACACAACACTTATTTTTTAGTGACAGGCAATGTTCAAAAAGCTTATGATACTCCCACAAAGTTTCACTATACAATTTTCTCCCACTTCTATTGAAAGTCATTTTAAAAACCCACCACTTTCTCCTTTCCAAACCAGTGTTTTATATTCAAGGACCTTTCTTTTTTGTGGTATTCTGAACAAAGCATGCAATACCTTATACAAATTTTAAGTCTAAATAAAGCACTAGTGGCCGTGTCCAGTAATCTGAAGGCAACAGGCTTTCAAACACATTGCCAACTTTTACTATCTGTAAACAGCTTTGTTCTCAGTCTTGCAAATGAACCAACTGGTATGTCAAGGCTGAGGACTCTATATTCAACTTGCTCCATCCCCACTGCCACAATGACTGCTCCCTCCCTTTAGGGCCATTACTGAAACATTAGACTTTAGAAAACACATTAGTATGAACATAATCAATCTCACATAGAATCCCAGTCAGATTTCTATGCAGCATTATTTCCTCCCTTTAACTTCTGTGCTGACAGGTAGGACAGAAAACAAAAGGCTTGGCGAGGGCTTGGAATTAGGAGCACTTGGCTTTCAATTCAGGTATTTAACAAGCTGAGCCTTTAACAGGGTCCTCCAGTTTTTTTCTTGGTTATTTAATAGCTACATTTGAATCTGTGTACTACAAGTTTAAATACAGCAAACATGCAAAGAATGTGAAGAATCACAATAAAAAGATGTTTTGAATTTAGGGTTTCTTAGGGGGTTGGGTGTTTCTCTTTTGGAGTTTTTAAATTTCTTTTTTTCCTCTGAATAGCAGTTTCATCTAGGATGTAAAAGGTACTCAGAGTTCAGATAGCCAGATTTATTCTTTGGCTCTTTGGAATACCCTGAGCAGCTGAATTAACACTGATCATGGTTTAAATTTCTATAGAAGCTCCCCATCTGTAAATCATAAAACATTTTACCAATATTCATGAATTTAGCCTCCTGGCAAGTGGATCAGGAGTACAAGGTTAATACTGTTATTCACATTTTATAGCACAGAAATCAGAGAGAATTTGAGGTTCACTTTTGCAAAGACTCTTGCTTGCATTCCTCTGTATACACAAAATGTGTATGCTGGCACACAAAAACCAAAGGCAGTGAATATCCAGCCAAGGCCTGAAGAAGCAAAAAACAAATAAATGACTGCGTAAAAAGCATTGGTATTTTGAAGAAAACCTTTTCTCATCTGCAGGACAGATGTAACTGGGGCTAGCACCTGATTGTCTATTTTTGACCTACAGATGGTTAGAATCATAGACACACATAAAAAAGGAATCAGGTAATATTAAAGGCACTTTGACTACTTGTTCCATATGATCCCAATCCTGCAAAGCACTTTGGCAGACGTGTGATTTTGCTTATGCAAAATGCACCCCTGAATTTCATGGCATGGCACTGCTTACAGAATGTGCGACAGGAAAAGAGCCAAATTCCTGATGGACCTTTCTTTAGTATTACCACAATTAGCTGTATTTTTAGAAATTGCCTTTTTGCAGTGTCCATCTGATGCTCTGCTCAATTTTTCTGTCTCATGTGAGACTCTCTTCACCTGAACATGCAACAAACCACAGGATGAGGGAAGGGGCTGGAAGGCACTCTCTATGTATTTTATTTCTGGGTAGGTTATTATTGTTATTTTTTACTGCCTTTTGTATTAAAAACAAAAACATCTGTTAGCCTGGGATTCTCCCACATGGGAAGTTCTGCTTTTCTTGTTGAAATCAAGTAGTCACTGAAGACACACAGTATCTTTCTGCATTATTCTGGACTTGGCTGAAACTGAAGAAAGGCATTTCTTTTACCGTGTTTTCAAATTAAGCCTCCTCTGGTCTGGATAATGCAACTTCTCCTGTTTTCTAAGAATCTTTCCACTTGGGAGTGGATGAAAACTAAACAAGGAGCAAATTTTCACATGAAAACTAATAAATATGCCATTGAATTTTTTTATTCTAGGATATTACGCCTTTGTGTAAAATCCACTTGACTCATTTAGGTAAAGGTATTCTTCACGGTTACCAATGTCAATCATCTTTTAATCAAAAGTTAGAAGGAAGCTATCCTTTGACTTCCATTTCATTACTGTATTTATTTCACTTTTAAAAACAGAATATTATGGATATTCATTAATTTACTCTCCTGTCCAGTTCTAATTACCATTGTTAAAGACAGTGGTCAACATCAATCATTTTATACCCCAACAATAGAACTTTGTCACACTTGGTGGTTATTTCTGTGTCTAAACCTTTCTCCCAAGTTAAAATCCAAAGCCTAAATTTCTGGGGGAAACAAAAAACATTTTTGGGTCTTTAAGAGCTGATGGGAAAGAGGAGTAAAAGCTTCTTAAGACTTCAGATCACAGGACAAGGCTTAAAAGAACTACATTCTCCTTTGGATTCTATTGACTTTCCTCTTCTGTGAAACACGAATCATGAGTGTGTTGCAGAGTGCAATGGCAGGAGGGGAATGGCTTTCAGGAACTTGCTGCTTTGCAAACCTTTTTTAAGTCTACTTAAAAACGTTTGTAGGTATTTAGTAAGCAAAATCTACCTCCTACACACTTTCATCTTCTTCTCCTACTACTCTGAATGGTTTATTTCTCTAATTGAATAATGAAAATTGAGAGGGTTGAGGTTTCTTTTCAGTAACTTTGAAACAAGAGTGTTGTTTAGCTACAAAATCAACTTAAGGCCATTAGAACGTGTGACACTTCACTCAGGCAAACTGAGACCGCCAGAAATGTCACTCTACTTGCCTGGGCATCCTGGGCGTTATTGACCTTCCCTGTTGTGACGAGGGAGAAATTGTACGCAAAGAGCACCAGCAAGGCCAGGGGCACCATGTACAGCTCCACGGTCCAGACAGTGACCACAAACACCTGGAGAATACACACAAGTGTGGAAAGAGAGAGACACGTAAGAAAGGCTGTCAGTCATTACCACTGTGCACATTCATCCTTGAATCTCTGCTAACCCCACCCATAATTATTATTATTATTATTTTGGCAAAGAAATCTGCTCCCTCTGTTCCGTGTGAGTTCATTAGGCTGTTGCTGCCTCCCCTGTCCCTGGGGAAGGAGAAGCCATGAACATGAGGTGAGCCCAAAGCTTCTCCACTCCTTCCTGGGATCCCTCCAGCCTGAAAGCCTTTTGTCCTTAGTGCTGGTGTACAGCAGATGCACTTAGAGAGGTCAACCTGCTCCACTCATCAAACTCTAACGGCCAGGGGGTCTTTCCCAGGCTAGGGAAGAGAATTATCCTCTTGTGCAACAGGAGCCATGGAGCTCCCTTGTCACTCCACAGGGGTGATCAGCAAATGCATCTTCACCATTAATCCACCTATACTCTTGGCACGCCAGCTCAGAGAAAGGACTGTCACCTTGCAGGAGGCCAGGCCTCAGGGTGCACATGATTCATTGTTTTGGAAAGGGATCCAGTCAGCCTAGTCCCCGTTCTCATACTCTTGCCATTTTTCAGCACAGCATATTCTGATTTCACTGGTTCTTTGGAGTCTCTTTTCCTAAAAACCAGTATGAGCCTGTGTGTTTGGACTGGTGTCTGACAAAACCCACTAAAAGCAAAACCAGAAGGCAAACTGGAACTTCAAAACACACAAATAATATGATGGGGATCTAAAAAGCACATAGGATTTTTCAAAAAAACTCCATCAAGCAAAACTGCAATCCTATCTTACAAGTACCAACAACACCTGAACAGACTGCAAACTTGGAGGGGTTGGCAATGCAAAGTTAATAAACTAAATCCAGAACTGCCATAAAATGTATGTTGTGATCCCATTTCCTTTTCTACTCATACATAGTATTTCCAGAACTGCCTAATGCTGGTAGCAACTTGAAGCTATTTTAAGCAATCTCCTTCAAAGACAAGGCACAAACACATTTTTCTGATTTTTCTTTCCCCAAAAGAAACTGGTTTGATCAAAAACAACAATCACATTTTTAGAATAATACAGGTAAATGGAAATGAGTCAGATCCAGTAGAAGTATATCAAACAACAACAAAGAGAAAACTCTATGGGTGATGAGGAAACTAAATCTCTACCTCCCCTCATCCTTGGCTTGCCAAATACTACATAAAAAGACAATGCTGGCAGTTGTAGAATGGGACATTAATGGCAATGTATTTTGTGTTATGAACCTGAAAGTGTAACCACTCTGTACCAAAGAAACACTTCCCATTGCATTCAGCAGTGTGAGAATTTACACCCCCACAAGATAGCAGCTGTTTTAACTTTTTAAACAAAAAGACTTGTCTGATGTCAGACAAATGGCCAGTTAATACCTACCATGGGCCAAACACAAACCAAGAAACAATGCCTGTATCCATAACCTTGCCCAAACAGCACTTGCATTTTCTGGAGTGCACCTGATTTCATGTTAGCTGTTGCTATGCAAGGAATTTGACTGCCATCCTGTTCTTGGCATTTGTTGGCCTGTAAAGCAATCTTCAAGATATATTCATCTATAAAATGGGCTGACATCCAGGAAATACATCCCCATGTTATTGATTTGCAGCACAGGAATGTGGAAGACAATTTGGTTTGGGGTTTTTTTTCCCTTTTTTGATCCTGTTGTTCAACATACTAAAAAATTAGAAGTGATAATGATTCACACAGCCACATTTCATATGTAAGCAAGGCAACAGAAACACGTGAATCCAGGCCAAGAACTGGTACTTGATTTGTCTTATAGGAGTCTTGCATAACTTAAGCTAATAAAACCTTCAATAGTTTTGATATTCTCAGCTAAAACATCCCCCATAAATGAAAAGCTCCAACCTGAACAAGTTCCTCTGAAGCTATTCCAACTCCCTTGGATGAATATATGCTTGTCTTTTAAGACAAAGTGAAGGTGATAACAGCTTCTGTCCTACCCTAAATGTTACTTAAAGAACAAGGACCTGTTATTATACATATCTCCACAGCTATCTTTGTCAGGCACACATAGATTAAAAAAAAAAGACATACATATAAACATACATCCGATCCTTGCATAAATTCCTTTCATAGAAATTCTCATTTCCAGATATTAATTCCCATTTCCAGATATTAATTCAAAACATTTGCCTCAGCCCAGGGGAGGGGGTTGCATTTGCACCACCTCCCTGGGTAACAGCAAACTCAGCCTTCCCTTGATGCAGCAAAAAGACCCCACCAGCAGCCAGCCAGGCAAAGTCCTACAAGGAGTCAATGAAGCTCTTGAAGAACCTCTCTTCATTCACTCAATTGCAGGACTTGACCCAATTTTAGTGCATCTGTCACCATCCTATGTGAACATCACCCTGCTCGGCTGCAAGTGCAACACAACCTTGCAATCACAGGTCATTCAGGCAAGCTACGAAGCCAAGACCTTGGTGATTTTAGATCTTACAGTACATTTTGTGTATTATTAAGTTTCAGACCTCAAATAAAGCTTCATTACAAGATCTCACTGTGGGCTCAATGGGTAGCTGAGGCATGCTGTCTCCTCCTTTCTAATGCTGGCTGGTTAATCAGCTGCTGAGTTATAACTCAGACAGTGAAGCTTTGATAGAGCTCCCACATCTCCTTAACAAGAGCTGCTTTGCTGCTGTTGCCACAGTACAGGGAACTTTCATTACTGTGACACGACACAGACACAAGACAAATTGATTTAGCTATTCAGAAATTATTTAGCCTCGGAGGTATGGGAAATGATTGCTGTGAACATACAGTACATAATAAAAGTTCAGAGTGTGTTTATAGAGCGAATAGAAATATTTCTGCTGTTCTAACAGCCTTTTGAGTGGTTCTGCAGCATCAGTTTTCAAAGCAGATCCCCAAGCAGGCCCATGTCCTATTATCAACTTTCAGTGAGCTCCTTGACACTGACCACAGCACCAGCAGCCCTGTGACACAGATAGCCACTCCCCAAATGACAAGGTCCTCAATCATGCATGTTTTTACTCTCTCCTCAGTGATACTTTGTGCCTGGGAGAAGTTCTTGATTTATGCTGCCTAAATTATTTTCTTATCAATATTTTTATGCCAAAACTCAGGAGTGCTTCAGCTGCTGATGTAAGTAACTGCTAATGCAAGGAAGAGTATCTTCTTGATTTCTTGTCATCCCCAGTCTGCTTTTGCCTAATGCATAAACTAGAAAGAGAATCCATTAGCAGGTTCAGATCACTTTCCCAGTGCCACAGAAGTCAGGGACACAAACCATGGCCCTGCTTCAAATGATCCAGTTTCAACAAACCATTCCTTTCTTCAATGTTTCTTGTTGCTAGACCAAGTTCTGTCAGACACAATCCATTACATTAATTGATACTTTTTCTGCTGGGCTTCACACTGTTCGTGGGGGAAGTTAAAAGCACAGCAGCCAATTTCTAAACTAAGAGTTAAAGTAGTAGAAGCGAGTTTTCCACACTACTCCTTTTAATGCAGTTTGAGAGTATAAAAGCCTATTATAGAAGTGAGCACTTTAATTCACAGCATTCTAAAACAATGATGAAAAAGAGAAACAGTAATAGGATAGACCTATCTTGAGGGAAAGAAAAGAAAAAAAAAGAGCTCTTGAAACTAATATTTAGCTAGAGCTCTACCTAAAAGACAACAGCAATATCACAGCCTTGGAGAAAGGACCACTTGATTTCAGCTGATTAATGTGTTGCTATTTCAAAGGGCCTAATAACTACAAGTTAAAGCTCTGGAGGTTTGGGAGCCGTTTCATCTGAAAATCATTGAAGAGGGGTCCAACTGTTCCTGTCAAGAAGCATGGAGTTTGAACAACCATGAGAGTGGCCCTTTTGACAGCAGCACAAAAGATGAGAGAAGGCAGTCTCAACTGAAAGTAAAAACAAACCCTTAGAAACACGTTTCAAATCTGGTTTTTCTGCCGCTCTGGTTCCAATTTAGCATCTGACTATTAAGACCAGATTTTAGACGGGTGTCTACTAAAATATGCCCATAAAACATTTGTCACCAGCAAACCCACAGTCATGGGATAGAACAGTTTCAAGAGGCTTAGAAACCTAGCACAAGATAGGATTTTCTGCGTGATTTTTCCACACAATAATTACCATTTTTCTAACTGCAAGATTAACAGGCTCTTTTTGACCTGGCAAGCCTTTATGGTGCAGTGAGGGATGCTGTGTTGTGTGACAGAATAACTCTTGGACAGCACCAGTGATGGGAGGAGAGTGATACATTCCATCAGATGGAAGAAATAAAAGTGAAAGGAGATTAAATGCATGCGAGGAACCTATGGTATAAAGTTATTTTCTTGGTCAGTGCAGGCTCCAATGGTAATGAAATGCCTCATCAGCAGAGCTGTGAAAAATATTTTTTGAAACTCCAAGTTTCAAAACCCACAATTTAACTGAACTCTAAACTTCTAACAGCTTCATCAAAAGTTTCCTCGCGATTTATAAACACGTTCTGTGTAACTTGTGAAGGCACGAGAAAAACTTGGGCTGATACTGCTGTGAACGTCCAAGTTTGGTTTTGAACTAAGCTACACTAAACCAGATCAGTGAATTTGATTTGAAAGAGAAAGACATGCTCCCCTTTATTTACAGGGGAGAGGAATTCTGTATTTTTAACTTATTTCTGGGCTACACACTTTCAAGTTGCCATGAACGCACAAATGAACTCCTTAAAAAAGGAGCAATTTTTGAGAATAAATATTCAGGGGCGAATTCTCGGTTTTTTGGGGGGTTTCTAGGCTTTCAGTCCCTCTGCTCCAAACAAAATACAGGATATTAGCCAATGACATAAGATACTGGCTCCCCAAAAGGGCACTCGAATCCCTTGGAGGCAATAAGCCTGTCGACAACAAATTATTTCTGACAGATACTTATTCCTGCCCTTAGACAGGGAGAGCACAAGAGCAGAGGAGAG